AGCCCCCTTGGTCATGAACCCCCAGCACATCAGCCAAAATAGAACTCTTTTCATTAAAATTTTTCCACTCTGTGGTATTTTTTTATTAACAACAGAAAATGGACTAATGAAAAATATATCTTAATGTTTCTTTTTATTGAACTGAGCTTTTAAAAAGAGCTTTCTCCTTCCCTACAGTATGTAGGCCTGTCTTTCCTGCCATTCTCATGTATGAATCAAAAAATCTGCTGAGTTGCCATGATTCACTAATTTATTCATTCATTGAATGTTTACTGAATATCTTTTTATCAGGTATTCTGATAGATGGTAGAGATTCAATGGTGAGATTATATAAAAATATAATTCATTCCTTCATGAAACTTTCATTGTACTAGAGAAGATTTTAAATGAGGATGAATTTATATAATTGAAAGAAAGCTGACTATATCAAAACATGAAGAAACTTGTAATCTATTCCTTAAACAGAGGAAAATCAATTTTCTCAAGTATATTCTGGAAATAGGTCAACTATAGTAAAAAATATTCCAATGATTATGACCTTTCCTCAAAAAGTTTTGGTGGATGCTGTAAGTTCTCCAGCATCAGACCTAAGAAACTGAATCATAGATCCCTCCCTAGGGGATACAATTATTTCCTTCTCTGTCTATGATAAGAGGCATTCAGTATAATTGGCAACAGTCAACAACCATGAATTTCAGAGGAGCAATCACCCATAGAGGATCTGAATACTCCTGTGAATACTCCTGGAAATAAGATAAGCATTGTTCCATGCCTTCAGAACTATCTTTGAGGTTAGTCTGACAACTCCCCTGCAGAGTTAATTGGCCAATGACTCTCCTAAATTTCCTATGTAGAAAAAGTCCAAAGACAAAGATGTCTAAACCTGCTCCTTAAGCCCCTGCAAGTTCCTCTTTTGTTAATACTTTCCACAGGGTTATCACTAGTTCTGTGATTGTTGACACTTTCCACAGGGTTATCACTAGTTCTGTGATTGTTGACACTTTCCACAGGGTTATCACTAGTTCTGTGCTGGATTTCTGAGACATGTGGCCTCTGGGAGAGAAAGGGTAGAGAACATAAACTTAAGGATAACTTCCTACCACTAGGCCAGTAGATGGGAAGGCAGAAAAGATGCCCCAATTCCTGGGCCAATGAGTTGTCAGGAATCTTAAAAATAATAGTAAGTACTTTAAGAAGGAATGGACAATAGTCTGGGCCATGTTCAGACAAGAGCACATCGTCATCTCAGGGACTCAGGCTCAGGTAGGCATATTTGCAACAGCAAGCTAAGCTGACAACAGTACAGGGCCCAGGACTAGCAAAGACCCAGAACCTTGAACCAGCAAAGTTCACTTTGTACAGGTGTGACAGAATACCTGAGACCAGGCAGGAAGTTCAAAATCAAGGGGTCTACATCTGAGGAGGGCCTTCTTACTACATCCTCTTCTGCCGGAAGGCAATAGGGCAAAACAATGCATGTAAAAGGAATAGAGAGGGCTGGGGTTATGGCTCAGCAGTAGTACGCTCACCTGGCATGTGTGAGGCTCTGGGTTCAATCTTATTAAAAGGAAGAGAGAGAAGGGGCTGAACACTTTCTTTATAAGAAACCCACGCTCCTTATTACTAACCCAGTCCCACAATGACATCATTAATCTACACACAAGGACAGAGCCTCTCAGAAGTCCTTTCTTTCAGTACTGCTGTACCGGGTTTAAGTTTCCCATATATGAACTCTGGGGAACACATTCAAACCATAATATTCTTCCTCTGCTCCACAAAATCTTGTCCTTCTCACCTTCAAACTACATTCATTCCATTCCAATAGCATCAGAGTCTTAACTCATTCTAATACCAACGCAAAATTCCAAAGTCTAGGGTCACATCTAAATTATTAAATATAGGTATCACTCAAGACATGATTTCTCCTGAGGCAAATTCTTCTCCAGTTGTGAGACCAAGAAATTTAGGTCACCTACTTTCAAAATACAACGGTTGGACAGGCACAAAATAGATATCGCCATTCCAAAAGGGATAGATGGGCAAGAAGAAAGGAGTTACTTGTCCCAAATAAAGAGAAAGCATCAGTAATCCCTAAATCTGGAGAACAATCTCCTTTGACTCCATGTGCTACTGTCTGTACACTCTGATATGGAATTTGGATCCAAAAAGCCTACAATAGGCCCCCCAAGGCTTTTCGAGCTCAGCCCATTCTTCATCTTTCTCTCAGATGAGAGTCTCATGATCACAGATCTCCAAGGTTGGCACTGCCCCTAGAATAAGCCAAGGAAGGCAATCAAGTTGTTACCCCTCTAGAAATATTTATTTTGCCTTATTGTATGAAAGGCTGAACATGCTGTTGGAATTTCAAATCTTTTATCCATTGATCTGTGCCCCTAAGACTTTAGGATTTCTCACAATCACCTATGGAGTTTTAAGTGTTCATATCAGAAGATGTTGGTAATAAGGTACAAAGTTTCAGTTAAACAGAATGACTAAGTTCTGGGGATCTAATATGATTGGTGACTACAGTTAACAATATTATGTTGTATTCCTGAAATAGAGAATAGATTTTAAATGTTCTCACCTCAAAAAAACAAAAACAATAATTGGGCAGTGATGGATATGTAATTAGCTTGTTGCAGTAATCATTTCACAACACATGTCTATCAAAATATAATGTTATGATCCATAAATAAATACAATTTTTATTTGCCAATCATATCTCAATAAAGCTGAGGGTGAGAGAGAAAAAGAATGAAGTTTTTCTAAGTGGAAAAAAAAGAATGATAATTAAGCAACTAAGCATTCATATCATGAGGTTGTTCAACAGCTCAAAGTTATTATTTTAGAAACACAATAAAATAGTTATACTTCAAGTATGCATTTATTTGGACCCTTTAACCATGAGGAAAAATTAACACTACCGATAAAGGAAATACTATTCAAATATCCTCATGCCTAGGGAAGAGCCAATCTCAAGTTTGTATAACCTGTGTAGCCTCACCAGGGCCTATATCTGGGAGAGCATTGAATTTGGTTTAGTGCTCTGCTGTTGATATCTCAAATTTTTTTGAAATTTATTTTTGTTGTAGATGGACATAATACCTTTATTTTATTTATTTATTTCTATGTGGTGCTGAGGATCAAACCCACTGCCTTACACATGCTAGGCATGTGCTCTACCACTGAACCACAACACCAGCCTGATATCTCAAATTTTTAAATAATTTTCAAACAAGCAGCCTCACATTTTCATTCTACACTGGGTCATGGAAATTAAAAGCTGGTCCTGCCCAAGTGGTTCAAGATCATATAAACCACATATCTACTAGAGTTCTAATTCAGCAGAATTGACTGGAAGTTTCCAAATAGAATACAAGTAATAACACAGAGAAGATGAGTCAACTAACATCAACTATTGAATTACTCTAAAAGACTCAAAATAAGGAGGAAAATAAACCATGTAGCCTATTTCAAAACCAGGGCACAATTTTTGTACCAGTATAAGACCTTTAATCCATTACTTTATGTTTTTATTCTCTGAAATAGAGAAGCCCCCAGAGTTTCCACTGAAAAGTGTTGGGGGGGGAGGCTAGAGTAATCTGGGGAACATCATGGAAGAGTTAGGGCATGATGTCTTCTTCGTTAACCTACATGAATATGGTGAATAAGGAAGATTTTTCATACAAGAGATTCAGAGCTGCATGGCACATGCCAAATCGTGCAGGGTGTGTATGGTACAGCAAAGGGAATGTAGTAGGATAGAGATTGGAGGAAAGAGGCAGATTCAAGGAGAAATTGAACCAGGAGTTCAAGTTGTGAGAGAGAACTAAGATTCTTGAACAGGAGAATAAAGTATCAAGTACGTTTTTCTCTGAAGGCTTGCTTGACAAATGCTTGCCTTTTTGTCTGGGTGGGAAAATCTGCAAGACAGCCAACTATAAGGGTAATCACCTATAACAACTCCAACAATTAAAGAAAAGAGAATAGTGTTTTGCTGTTGTTTGTAAATTATCTCCAGAATATTTAGTGATTGATGGAGAGTCCAGATTAAATTTTTAAAAGAAAGGCTGAGGAGCTAGTACAAAAACCTTGAAACAGGGTTTACATTCAGTGACTGGGAAAATAATCGGGATCAGGAAACAAATGCAGGAAGAAGAGTAAGGCAAAAGAACCACAAGAAGTATTCAAGAAGAAGAAAGATAGCTCAGTAAAAATCCCTAAGTAAAAATCCCTGGATTTGGCAAGAAGCCATTTAATAGCCTCTAAAATTTAATTTATTATTCTCAAAGATTCAACAGTGATGGATTTTGTTTTATCATTTTACATTTTATAAGAGAGGTAAAGCTCATGAGGACAAAGCATTCTGCTTACCATCATATCCTAGCACATAGCATAATATGATGAGAAACCATCCCCTCTTTAACCAACAGAACCTCAGACTGTGTCTTCCAAAAGGTGAAGATCTCAACCAATTGAGATTTCATGTCCTACTACCCTTCACAAATATCATAACCTCTTTATAGTTCCTAAGTATCTTACTGTTCAAATACTATGACTTTTTTTGCAATATTGCCATTAAATGTTTTTAAAGAAATCTTTTGGACGATGGTAGCATGACAACAAAGTCCCTTTTGCCTTCCCTTCTGGGCATCTTGATCTATCAACTTCCCCCAAGTCACAAAGACTCTTTTCTGACCACAGAGAAATTTTTCAGGTAGTCTTAGCTATGCTCAGATACCAAAACATGCCGGTAGTTTTTTCATGTTAACAAACTGGGTGTGATAGTCCCCAGCTAGTTAGCTCTCTTCGCCTTCCTGCAACGCAGTTGTATCACCAGGGAAGCCTTTTAGTAAATGCTGTGGCTTTTATTATCTACAACAAATGCTAGGGACATAAAAGACATTCCAAAAAAAATTGATGAGTGAATGAATAATGATGCAACTTCTACATTATAGCCTCTGGATTGTCATCCATCCACAAATATCAATGGCACTTACTTTGCTTTGTTGAAATCATGAAAAGAAGTAGGCTGTTGTTTATCCATTGTATCTCAAAAAAGCTAGGAAAAAAAACAGAGAAGGAATCAGTCTGTCTAAGTTATTGGGCTACAATATCTAATTATTAATATCAAATAGTGAAAAGAATGCAGAAACACAAAACAAAAGCTAATGTGTGTGCTTTTATTGTTTAAAATCTCCTTACAATTTATATGCATTGGAAATTTGTGGGAAAATTAGAAGAATAAAGAATTTGGGAATGGTTGCAATTATTAGAAGGAAGCAAAGTTATTAAAAAAAAAAGACTGCAAGCAAGAGAAATTTTCAGAGGACATAATCAAAGAAAACCAGAATAAAATAGTCACCTAGAAAACTGTCAAGTTTTTCTTACATTTCATTGCCAAGATATTGCTACCAAAAATGTTAATAGCTGAAAAAGCAATTAAACAATACATCTGGAGCCGTTGTGAGCATTGGCTAAGACCAACAAAATAGTATACAGGTCACTGGGATGCATGTATTACACAAATAAAGAATACCACAGGCAGAAAAACACACAGGTGCAAACACAAAGGACCCAAGGACATCTCTCTAAGGTGCTATGAGATGGCTGTGCTGCAAATACAAGGGTTAGAGCAATGAGAAGTACGTGGATGAGGATGTGCTTTAAATTATGCTGGTGTCATGCTGGATAAACCAATAACGGAGTTTAATCACTGTTAACAAAAGCCCAAGGTTAATAGTGACAAATACTACTAGTAGTTGCAAAGCAATAATGTGGAGTGGGGGGCAGATTTTGAACAGAACCTGTGCAGTGGCTACTTTCAGCACCTGGGGTTCAATAGAATGGCATGAAAGAAATCAGATACAAATCAGTTCAAAAGAGAAGAGAAACTCTTAGACACACAGATGGAATTTTTAAAATTATAATGAAATCAGCTTCAGGGAAAATCTTTGACAAGAAAGTGTGGTGAGAAAATAAGCACCATTACCATAATGGATGCCAGAGTCCAGGTATTACATGATGAGTGCAGGATATATAAGAAATTTTAAGGGAGTCACTAATACATCCCCAATCTGCCAAACAGTTGAGTTTTTCAAAGTTGCCAAGAAAATAGGAGAGATTGTCATTAAATTCCTGCTTTAAAATGGCCTTTTTGAGTGTACTATTTCCCTGGAAAGCTCACGACCAGCAAATTAATCTCAATTGGCAAAGAGAATTTGCCCTCTGCCTAGTCCTCAAATTTGAAGGCAGGCTGGGGAAAGTGGGAAGAAATAGCATAGAAACTGCCTTTGAAGGGTTGGGGATGTGGCTCAGCTGTAGAGCACTTGCCTTGCACATGTGAGACACTGGGTTTGATCCTCAGCACCACCTAAAAATAAACAAAGGTATTGTGTCCATAATATATTTATAGATATATATCTATAAATATATATAAATATATATCTATAAATATATATCTATATAAACTGGCCTTTGACTCTCTAATTATGGTTACTTTAAAAGGAAAATAACATTTGTATTTAAGTTACAACCATCAAGAAATGCACAAATATGGCAAAGACTAGTGAATATGCTATGTCCTTGTTCCAGCCTAAGAGAGATTTTTTTTTATAACATATGCAAGTTGTAGAACTATGGGTTCATTCTTCCCTACTCCTATCAAGCACATCCCTCTCTTCCAATGCAACCCTCTGTATCCCACGTGTGAATGTGTGTGAGAGATTCACACAGAGACAGAAAGACAGAGCCAGATATGCAGACACACAGAGAGAAAAGAAACAAGGGAAATAAAGGAATGACATTAGGAGGAAGAATTTACTCCTAAACCTATACGCTTTGCCCAAGGTCATATCATTTTCTTGACATCCCAAATCAACCAATACTCATCACCTTGCTCCCAGGGAACCTGGATAAGCAGAAAGTGCTTGGTCTTTGGTCTAAGTAGAGATAACCAACCCAATTAGCTGGGAAAGACAGAGCAAAGAGCAGTATTATGCAGATCACCTATCTGTCAATACCATTCTGATGCTTCCTACGTTCTTACAGTAGAAAAGGAGAGGGAGCCGATTCTAAAAGATTTTTCTTCCTTCCGAGTTCACTGTCAATTCTATTTTGACTTCACCTCCAACTGATTAATAATACAAGTCAATCATTTTTCAACAAATTTCACGTGTCCTGCATGCCACTGTCCTTCTTCTACGTCTGCCCTGTCTTCCTCTTCCTTCTCAGCATCACCCCACTTCCTTCTTCCTTGCTTTTCTTTATCCCACTTTCGTTCTGTAGGAGACCCTCTCACACACACACCTCTCTGTATTGACCACTTAGAGCTCCCTTTGCCAAGTTCCTTTCTCATCCCATCCTCCCTACCCTTGCCCACTCCTTTTCCTCCTGTTTCCCTATTGGTTACCCTACTGATTCCCTGAAACTTGCTGACATTTGGATTCAAGGTGTTTGAGTAAAAGCTCTTGAATTCATCATAACTGTGGAGGGGGAAAAAGGGTCATTGTCACTAAAGGAACATTTCTGAAAGAAAACTGAGTTTCAAAACATCCCAGGAAAAATGAGTGAAACTGCTGTCACCGGAAGAGGAGCTGAAGCACTTGAACTGATAGCACACTTGAAATTAGTACATCCTTTGTTCCAATGCAAATGCCTCATCCCAAGGCCTTCACTCTAAATCAGCACAACATTTCCCTTGTTTACCTTATTAATTTACTTAGCAACACCATTTTTATAGATGCAGGTTAAGCAAGGATTCTGAGAGCAAACTATATACACCCCAGCAGATGGCCCATAGAACCAGCCTTGTTGGTCTAGTCAAAACAAATTTTGCACAACAAACACTTGTTCTGTTCATGGCCTTGTCATAATCACACTCCATGGAGGAAGAATAATTTTAATTGGATATTGTTTGTTGTTTGCATTGTAAGCAGGCAGAGCTAGCTTGTGATATAAATATGAAAATTGTCTCAGTTTGTCAGTTAAGTCATACACTCTCTTCTAATCCTTGTCCTCCTCATCCCATGAACAAGTGGTCCATTTTCCTGCCTTCTTCCAAAGATCAACCCCCCTCCAAATTAAAAGTACTTCCACTAATAAAACCATTAAAATCAAAAGTAATGGCATGTCAAGGACCCTTATTTACCAATTAACCTTACTGTCTATAAGATTTAACCTACATAAAAAATTGCTGAGTTTTTAAGAATTTTATATTCTTTTTACATAAAGACACATATAACTTTGGGTCAGATCAAAATGAGGTCTCAAGGTCCTTACTTTGTCAATATACCTGAAAGAAGGAACAAGGCTCATCGTCGGAGAAAATGCTCGTTTATTGAGGAACAGCTCTGCATATTTTATAGAGCTGGGGGTGGTTTGACAGTTATGACAGTTTAATGGTTGAACAGTTTGACAGTTGGCATGGGGTGCTTTCTGATTGGTGGGTAAGGATCATGTGAGCCAGCAGAGCTAGTCTGATTGGTGGGGAAGAATCATGTGAGCCAGCAGGTCTCACCATTGGACGGCTCTTCTTGGGGGATGGGGAAGTTAGTCTTTGGAGCCAGAGCAACTCCCAACAACACCTATGAAATTTACTCTTTACTCAGCACCCATTTGAATCCATTTTCAGAGGGTGCTCACCAACATCTCCTGCCTGCAGGCATTGCTTGGCACTGCAGACTACTACACAACCTAGAAACTGGTTGGGCCACTGCCAGGGCACCTTATCCAAGCTGAGCCAATCAATGCTCTTTCCAGAGAAACAGGAAATATAGGACCAAGAGGTTTTGATCATCTGGAATCTAGGGGCCTGTATTCTTACATAGATCTGAGATGTGACCAGTTTTGTAGTAACCCTGGTACATCCTTATTGCAAACAGACCCAAAATAAGTTGAGCATTTACAACTAACATTTTATTTCACTGAAGGCAGAGGCAACAATATTTTAGCATCAGGATGCAACTAAACTTCTCATTGCAACTGATGACAGAATCCATAAATAGAACCAAACTAAGTCCTATGACAAAAAAAAAATACTGCTGCAAAAATGTAATCTTACACCTGCTCTGTGACAGAAGAGTTGTGAGTACCATATTTCTAACCAGGCTCATATCTTGAACATAACATATTTCACCAACAAAAAGCCATTGCTAATTTTAAAAGTGTCTAGAACCCATCTGAGATAAATATGGTTGAAAGTTACAGTAACTGTCCTCGGAGTGTGGATTTCTAGCTAAGTTATTTCAGATGCTAACAAACCAATATATATTGCCAACTACCATTCTGGAGAAGTTCTGAGTGGGAACTTTAAATCTTAGCTATTGTATATTTGTGTGTATAAACACACACACACACACACACACACACACACACACACACACACACACACCCCTATATGCATACATACACATATATGTCTTCACTGAGGTGTTTTTAAATAATCTATAGATATGATGACAGCCATGCGCTAGCAGAGCCCAGTATCCAGAAAGGTGGATGAAACCGAGAAAGACAGAAGTAGAAGAAGGACACAGAGGCCCCATGAAGAGATCCCTCATGGGAGCTGCATTTGGTCTGAATGAGTTCCTTTTCACTGATTTCAGTCCTTTGTAAGACCAAACCATCTTACCTACTTTAGGCTTGTACAAGATACTGCTATGGCATTATATTAGATTTCTTCTGTTCCTTAAACTCATTGAGTAATATATTCTCTTTCTTGATACCAAACAATCCTATGCTAAGAGATTAAAGCTATTGTTGCAGAGATAATATAATTATAAACAAAAATAAAGTTGTAGTTAGTCTTCAAACCTCATTACAGGCAAAGGTACAGTTTCCGTTGGGCTTATTATAATAATGAAAATGATTCAAAGACTGTATTTGCCATCTTCACAGACTCATAGGAACCCCAAACTGAAAACCACAGAACAGAGGTATGAATACTCAAATGTTTTTTCCTAAACATTTCTAAATGTATATTCATTTCAAATTAATATGCTACATGCTCAATCTACTTCTGTTGGTACCTAATGTATGCAGAGAACTGACTTAGGTGCTATAGAATGTTTGAAGGTAGAGGACATTATTTGCCACTTTGAAGAGTAGGAGTCTATTAATGTTCTAATGAAGCAATAGGAAAGCACCTTAATGAAAGGTATGAAAAATGTCATGAAAAGTATAAATATTAAGAAGTTGTGAGGGCAGAGGATTGATTACCTGGTTCAGTAAGAGAGCACAAATTCTAAAGTACTGGGTAGATTGGCAAAAATGATAAGAAAGTAGAGAGAAGATCTAGCAGACAAGAGAACTGCAGGAGACTACAGAGGCTGGAAATTATAAGATTTGTTCTAGAAGCAGTAGGAAGTGTAGTTTAGCTGTGATGTAAGATGCCCAAAGACATGATGTGGAAAAAAAAAAAAAAAGACTAGAATGGCAGGTTACCTGACTGGTGAAGGTGCAGAAGCACATGCTAAGTTTCCAAATTGTATTCTACGGTCAAAAGGGGCTGGAGTGGAAAGTAAGGCTTAAGGCAGGAAAATGACATGATGAGTTTTGTATTTGAGAAAAGTATCTCTGGACATAGGGCAGAATTAATAGGAAAACAGAGACAGGAGCTGAGATGGCAGTCAGGCAGATGCTAAGGTCTCCAAGTGAGAGTTAATGAGGTGTCACTCCAGGGCAGTTGCATAGAGAAACAATAAAACTGAGAAACACTGCAGAGGTGAAGTTGACAGGGTATGCTGACGAATCATGTAAGGAAATTAAGGTGTAAAAAAATAACTTCTAGCTGCCTAACCAGGGAAATCTGGTTTCCTCTTTTTAAAAAGGGAGAGTTAACATTTTTCTCCCTTGCAATATTTTGTGAGAATAAAGAGGTATCGTGCATGTAAAAATGAAGACCTATCAAAAAAAGGATTTATTGTATGTAATAAATTAATGTCTTTCTTTTGCATCTAGAAAGTTTGCCCATACATCATCCCCAGAACAATTGAGAATGCTCACTCACATCATTTGCATTTTTCTGAGGCTGAGAAGTAGAATCCCAAAGACATGGCCAAATGTCAAAATCTTGCATTTGTTCCGAATCACATCCCAACTAAAGCTTATCAAGACATCAAGGACTGCATGGAAGACCAAAGGAAAATGAAGGATGAATGCCTCTTTGAGTTCATCCTCTATGTAATAGCTAATGCTGTAGAGATACAATTGAGACAGAAGCCAGAAGAGAAACAGTCACTCAGACAAGGTTGGCATGGGACCCAGACTTGTGAAGGGAAGTGCAGAAGATCAAAGGAAAAGCCAAAGAGGACTCCAAATAAGACTAGGACAAAGACAATTTCTGGAGGTGTTCCTAAATAACAGTTCCATCAACTCCTTGTTCAGGAGAGCTTGAAGTAAATCTTTGTAGTTACCTCTTTACACAAATATTTACAGTTCATTATATAATATGGATTTTGTTGACTTATATAAAATTTTCTGTTCTGTTCCTTTACCTATGACTGGTCAGAAAGTATCTGGTTGGAAATTGAACCAGGTGTAGTCTAATTAACAATCAATTCTGACTAGGAAAATTAGGCACCTCCCATCATAGATTTCTTGTTAAGTTCTCCTGTCTGAGTGTGCTATTTTACAAAGCAGATGATACAGTCTCCTTTGTTGTATAGGTGCCTAAATAACTGTTTTACTTTCTTTGAGACACATCCCTAATTTTGTTCTCTATTCCCCATAAGGTCCTGTGGATGTGGGAAATCATCAGCCCAGACTCTCTCTTGCAAGACCCCTTCATATATAGTATCATCTCCTGCCAACATGTTAGGCTCCCCAGTCCATCATGCTAGTGTTATCCAGATAGTGTCACAGAGAATAAGGGCTGTGATGCTTCTTTTTCCTACTAAAGGCTTTGGCCTTCTATATATAGTGATCAATATCTAGTCATTACCAAGTTCTGTTTAGAAGAGGTCTTAGGTGAATGCATGATACCTGCCCCTATGGAAAAGGAGGCCTATTGGCTATAGCATCACTAAGAAGCCATTCAAGTGATTCTCCACCACAAATGTCTACTCTAAGGTCATTTTGGCCCCAAACTCTAGAACACTAAATTAACAAAAATTTATTATGCCCCATTGGGAAGCTAGAATGCACTTTCAGTGTTTACTTTCCCACTCAGCTCACCTAGCCTGTACAAGGTACCAATTTACCAATATCCTTTAAAACTGACACCACTGGGGGTGGGATTGTGGCTCAGTAGTAGAGTGCTCACTTAGCACAGGCGAGACTCCGGTTCAATTCTCAGCACCACATAAAAAAGAAAAATAAAGGCATTGTGTTGTGTCCATCCACAAAAAAGATTCTCATTCTCTCTCTCTCTCTCTCTCTCTCTCTCTCTCTCTCTCTCTCTCTCTCCCTATCTCTATCTCAAAAAAAAAAAAACTGACACCACTGTGTGTTTTCTACCAACACACTTGATTTTTCTTCCTTTGTGCTTCATTTTTAAAAAAGCAATTAAAATCAATGAATTAGAGAACAGACTTTATATCTCCACTTCCTTAGTTTGAATCTCAGCTATGACACTTGCTGTGTGATGTTGGGTAAATTGCTTTGCCTCCAGGTCCCTATTTCCTCATTTATGAGATGGGAAAAGTGATAACTCCTACTGTCCTCCTGAAGCTCTTGTAAGGATTAAAGAAGTCAATTTACGTAAAGCATTTAGAATCAGGGAGACTTCCTAGCATGTTAATTAAGGACTAGATAAGTATAAGCTATTATGCAAACTCTACTGGTAAAATGCTCCATTTATGCAATGGTGCCTGACCAATCTGAGCAGCCTTGATCTTCCCTACTTACCTTCATCATCAGAAACAATCCCACATTTAATAACAAAAAAATCTTATCCCACAAATAAATCTTAAAATAAAATCTATGAATACTATAACATAGCCATGCACAAAATTTCAAGATCATTAATATAATATCCTATATTAGCCAGTTTTGCATTACCATAATGAAATATCTGAGGTGATCAATTTATAAAACGTAAGATTTATTTTGGTGCACAGTTCTGGAGCTTCCAGTCCAAGACTGGGTCGCTCCTTTGCTCTGGCAAGGAGAGCACATTGTACAGGACAGCATGGTAGAGCAAATTACCTACAGCACAAGCCAGGTAGCACAGAGTAAGAGCTTAAGGTTTCACAGTTTCCTTCAAGAGCACATTCCCAGTGACCTAAGGACGTCTTATTAGGCTCCACCTCTCCAAAGTTCCATTACTTCCCATTAGTGCCACCCTGGGGATCAAGCCTTCAATTCATAATCTTAGGAGATATCCATCCATATTCCAAGCACAGGATTCCCTACCTATAAGTAGGAGGCATTAAAAATTG